CCCGCCGCTCCCGGCCGCCACAGGGCCTCCGGCAATAGCGTGCTCCCTGCCAAGTCTCTGTCCCGCGTCAGCCACCGCTGCCTGGAGTCTCAGCCCGGGCCATGAGGCTATTTTGGTGCCCCAGGCAGTGGAATCCTCGCGCGCTCGGCGGTGGGGAGCGCTGGAATGGGGACGCGGTCAAGTCTAATTAGAGACCTGGCTCACCCCGGGGCCAGGCGGGAGTCACAGCGGCGGGTAAGCACCCGGGAGCCTGGGAGCCGTCCCGGCGGGGGTGCCCACATGGGCCCCACATGCCAGCATCTGGAGAGGGAAGGGAATGCGCCGCGATCATTTCCCTTGGAGCTGAAACAAAACAAGGAGGGGTCTGGGTGTGGTTCACATGCTCTGCGGAGGGAGCCGCTAAACGTTTGAGCAACCCCCAAACACCTGGAATGCCGTGTGGCTTATTCAGCACAGGTGCTTCCCTTTGGAACCTAAGTCACTCACATAAGATCACCCACATGCGGAAAAGGACAGAAGATGGTTGCAGGGACTCCTTCTAACTTAGGGCACATCAAACTTCCCCCTGGACTTCTAGTCTAGAAAAGAAGATTCCTACCTAAAAGCTAAGGAATATTGCATTCTTGAACTGGAAGGAAGCTGCAAGGTCATTCCATCCAATTCCCTCCACCCTGTCACGAGTTCCCCAAGGAGCCTAGAGGGCTTCTACCCACTCTCAGGGGTCGCCAAGGAAGAGCAGCCCCTAGCCTCCCTTGGGCACTGTTTCCAATCTTGAACCTGCTCACTGGCAGGAAGTTCTCCCTAGTGTCTAACCTAAATCCCTCCTGTGGAAATTATGTCAACATGCTCACACTTTGTGTTCAGGGACAGAAAAACCAGCTCCATCTCCATGACACAATGACCACTCCAAGGTCCCATCTCAGCGTCTCTTCCTTAATGCTAATATCCTTGTTCCCTTTTTCAGGCCTTGGCTAAAAATGATGATTGTTCCTTGGCCCTGGATGCATTGCAGCTCCTGACACTAACTCAGCTGCCTCAGCTTTCTGGGGACCCCAGAGTCGGTAGGTATCCAAGTCATTGCCCTCAGACAAGCCAGCTTTGAATACAGCCTCTATCCATTTGAGACAGCCTGACTCTACTTCCCAGACCCGTGAGAGGGGCTTCAGTTCTTATCCGAACAAAAGCTGTCTCAGAGCCTGGGGACAGAGCTTGGACCCTCAGTCACCTACCTGGCTGGGCATTAACCCTGGAGCCACAGCCTTCCTCATATGGGCAAAGTTTCCCAAATCCTTGAGTCCATTTCTGATAGGTCAGGCAGTGGGGGGGTGGGGAGCCTAGGCTTTGTCCTCAGAGAAACCTGACTGCATCCTGCCTCTACTACTTTCTAGCTGTGTGTCCTTGGACAAGTCATTTAATCTCTCTGAGGTTCAGTTTTCCCATATTTACAATGGGGATCATAATAATCTCTGCCAAACTCATAGGTTGTTGAAAGTATGAGATGAGCTCAGGAATGTAAAAGCACTTGGAAAGCTAAGATTTTTCTTAGTACACTAGAAATGGAATGAGGCTTAGATTATAAACAGGATAAATATTAGCAAAAAGCCTCAGAAATCTTTTATTGTTATGCCCAAACTCTGCCTGGGTTTCAGGACGAGAGAGAGAGAGAGAGAGAGACAGAGTTGGTTTGCTAGATGTTCCCTTAGTGCACTTGGTATGAATGTCCCCCACCCTGCATTCCTGAACACACACACACACACACACACACACACACACACACACACACTTTTCCATATACATACGGCACAGCCCAGGCTCCTGGGTTCATGTCGGCCCCATAGGCCCCAGCCGCCTATACCCTCGCTGGCCGTCTCTCCATTCCCAGGGGGCCTCCTCATGGCTCCAACCTTGGCCTCAGCAACTCCAAGTCTCCCTACAGAGGCCCCTGCAGGCTGCTCCTCTCTCTTTGCCCATCCTTCTGGGCCATAGCCCCAGCAAGGCCTGCAACTCCAGGCAAAGGTGGCAGAGGCCTTCTACAAGGCGGCTCAGAACTGAGGCCGCAGAAGGAGCTCAGAGTTGGAGCATCACCCCCCTCAACCCCCTCCCCTCTGCCTGCCTGGCTTCCCAGAGCTGTCCTGCTTAATTCTTAATGGAAATTCCATCCCCGGCGCCGGTCTTGGCTGGCTTGTGGAGTCCAGGCTTGGGCCAACAGCAAACTCCACCCAGAGACAAGAGGCCTGCCTGGCCATATAAACACAGATACACACATATTCACATACATACATACACCCACGAGCAGAGAGACATACCAGGAGTCATTCCAGACTCAGAGATTCTCACCCAGACACATATACACATATAATAATATTAAGCATTACAATCATTAGCATTTATTACATGGTGCTAAGTTCTTTACAGGTATCAACTTCCCTAATCCTCACAATGCTGGGTTCTGCTAGTACCTCCAATTTACATATGAAGCTCAGAGGGGTTATTAATTTGCATTAGGCATCTAGTAAAAACAGCCTAACACATGAGCGCTGGGAACTATGCTCAGGGGCTTACGTGCATCGTTTCATTTTGCCACCGCAGTAACTTTTTTGTAGAAGTTATTATTATGCCCATTATACAGACAAGGAATATGGAAGTCAGACATGTTTCAAATCACCTGCCTATGGCCTCACAGCTTGTGAGATGAGGGGAGATTCTATACAGCTCTGCATGGGAACACCCGTGGGGGGAACAGGGAGAAGCACAGGTAAAGAGATACATGCACACACTCGGGGACACGACCACACATAGTTTCTTCTACCAAAGGAGAAGCCAGGAGTGGTCCATAGCCGCGTCAGACAAAGGGCCCCTCTAGCCTGACTCCATGGTCTTCTTCCCTCCCAAACACCCCCTCCCAGCTCTACCAACCTCACATGTCACCTCAGGAAGGACCAGTTAGACCTAAATGGAGGGAAGATCTCAGGTTTACAGTCCAGCCAGCCGGAACTACAGTAAACCCCTAGCCTCAGCTCCAAATCCAGTTTGCCCAGCACACCCTACATGGTCACTGGGAGAAGAAGTCTCAGGTGCATTCTCCTGATAGGATCACGAACGAACCTCAAGCCAGGAACATGTCAGAGACCCTGGGGCTGTCAGGGGCTGGCCAAGGAAGGCTTCTGGCCCCCAGGCCCACATGAGGCTGCACAGGACCCATAGGACAAAGCAGGCACCAGCACCCAGGCCTCAGGCAGAACAGAGCATGGGCTGCCCGAGGGAACTGGAGCCACCCTGAAGACAGATGGCAAGACTTTTGTGGGGGAGGGGCACAGGAGGGGGTGGGGCCACGACACAGGACAAGGAGCGAAGTCCAGAGCCCTGGGAGTTAGGGAAACATGACTGCAAAAGAAGAGAACAGAAGAATTTAGCAGCCAAGGAACTTGCCCACTGCTGGAAGTTTCCGTGCTATGCTAGACATCTCCGAGCAGGGGATAGGCTGGCTCTGGGCCTCCTCCCCAGCAGCGCCAGGAGAATGCCCAGAAAGGCCGGCTGCAGCCAGGGTGATCTCTGTTGTCTCTCGAGGTTTCCCACCTCCATCCCCACCCCAGAATTCCCCAGATGTTCCTGCAGTCACAGCCCTTCCACTCTGAGGACAGCTCAGCATGGCAGCCTTGTGGGGCATCTCCATTGTAAATGGGTTTTTCGAGAGAGGGATGCTCAACCCCCATAGATGAACCTGGAATCATGTGGTCAGGCAGTGGCTCTAAGAGGGGGAGAATTTGGACCCCAAGAATTTGCATTTCTAAAAGGTTCCCAGGTGATGTGGATGGTCTGATCTGGGGGTCACGTTCTGTGAACCACTGCTTTATAGAATAAGAGAAAGTCAGAGGTCATCCCGGCTCAGAACTAAATGCACAACCTGACTTCAACATGCAAATGGTGTCCTCTGAAAGACCCCTAAAGAGAGAATTTCCAATTCTGTCAGTAGTTTGTACTTTCTTTCACCCAGCCTCCATCTTCCCAGCTTCTGTGCCAGCCCTGCCGTCTGTTGGTAGATCTCCCGTGGGCTCTGTGATGGCTCTCTTTGCCTCAGTATATCTCAAGTAAGAGAAGGCCTCCTCTGTACTATTCTGCACCTGCTCTAAGAAGGTTATCATGATGAGGGACCTGCACAAAAATAAATGATGACCAGACAGGCTCTCAGTTCCCAGGACGGAGATATCAGATCAGAAGTTTATGATGATCGCAGCTGAAATGCCAGCCCACCCAGAGATATGAGCCATGGGCAAGGATCCCAGTAGCCACGGCTGTGACCTTGTGTCCTGCAGTCCCTCGTGTCCTCCTGTCACCCTGAGACACGCACAATGAGACACTGCCCTGCCTCCAGGAGTGATGGCGGAGGGGCCACCAAAGGAGAGCAGGGAGAGGCAAATCTGGCCACAGGCTGGTGTGAACACATCATTCACTCACTTGGGCAACCATTGTCAGGCCTTCTGCTCTCAGAGGGAAATGCTCTTAAAGGGAAAATTTTCCCCAACTTCCAGGGCCAGTGTGAGAACTTGGAACATAATCAGGTTGGAGGATGTAAGGAACAGAAAGGCCCTCAGTGAGCTCTGGGAGCAGGAGTTCTGAAATTTTTATTACCTACCCCGATCGCCTGGGGGTGGAGGTGAAAAGCAGGTGAAATGTCTCCCTCAGAGGTTCTGAATCAGTGGGTAGGTGATGAGCTGGAGTCCGGGTGCCCTTCTCTTCCCAAGTCCATAGTCAGTGACTTTGTACTGGCAGCTTGAAACTGGCTATGATGGGAGTATCTATTTACACCACAGAAATTGGGCAAATACTACAAATTGGGGCACTTTGTTTTGTTTTACTTTGCTTTGTTTTGCTTTGGAAAGCCTGTTGTAGACAACTTCCCAGCCCACCATGGGGCATGCAGGTCTTCATTTTTAAGCATTCCAAACAATTACAGTGCAGGCCATTTTGAGAAAAAGCACTGATCAGGTGATGAGGTTCTAACCCAAACCCCTCATTTTACAGATAAGGAAACTGAGGTCCCATGAGGGAAAGAATCCTAACTGAGGTCACGGTGCTAGGCTCCTCATGGGATCACAGCTGCTTAGTTCAGGATGGTGGGGCCTGGCAGGCAGCCCTGCCTTTTTCTTGACCCTCTCCTGCATCCTCTCTACCACACACCTGCTGTGGCTCATTGGCTAAGAGAGGGGTGGCAGGAAGGTCCTGCCCCTTGTGAGCCAATCAGATTACCTTTCATCAGTATTTAGAATTTAAATAGGTTGGACTAGAGGTTATTAGTGGCCAGATCACCTGCTTAGAGTACCCTGGACAGCAGGCACATGAACTCCAGCTGCTGAGGGCCCAGGGCTGCCCTGCCCTTCGCAACCCTTAACTGTTCAGCTCTTCATTAAATTCAGAGAGGTTCCTGAGCATCCTCTCAACAAATTCCCTGTTACTTAAAGTAACTAGCTGTTTCTTGTTACTTACAATCCAAACCATCTTGAGAAATACAGCCACAAAGCAAGCCAGTGAAAATAAGAACACTGAGATTCCTGCCCCTTTATCTTTCCCCTACATCGCTCCCTCAGACAAGATGCAAAAGAAGAGTGTGTCAATATGCAGTCCTCCAGAGCAATGGTTTTCCAAGAGTGGTCCCAGACACGCAGCACCAGAAACCCCCAGCATTGTGCAGGAAACGCAAATTCTCGGGTCTCCTCCCAGAACTACTGAATCAGAAACTCTGGGACTAGGGCCCAGCAAACTGATTTAACAAGCCTTGCAGGCGATTCTGATGCCTGGTAACTTTGAGGGCCACTGTCCTAGTGGGAGGGGCGGTAGCTCTGCTTCCCTAACAGTGAATCAAAGGCTGTTGAGCCCAGGGAGGACAGGCCATCGGGTGCTGGCTGTGGCCAGTCCCACTCCTTCCTGGCCAGCCTCCTTGATCCCACACTCCTGGGGGATCTCTGGCGTCCGAGCTGTGGCTTTGCATCCTGAGCTAAGACAGAGACCCTCTTTCCAAAGTCTTAGGGGCAACCTCTTTCCTAAAACAGCAAGCAACTTCAGCAGGTGCACTGCAGGGAAATGCGACTTCTGTCACTGTCTTGGCGCCTAATTAACTGAGTGGCCATTCCCTGGTCCTTCAGATTCCCAGGGGACTCCTCTGGCTGGCCTAGGGACAGCTTCAGGTGTCCTTCTGTGAGGAGGCCCGCCAAGGGCCTGGCTCTAGAGGCCGCTTTGGCCCCTCCAGTGTCAATCTACTGTTTCTTGTGCTCCCCACGCTCAGAGAGAAAGATGAGGTTCGAGGGTAATTGAAGAAGTGAGGTCTTGGGAAGAGGAGCAAAATAATAATAATAAAATAGCCACAACTACTGCATTACCAGGCACTGACTTCTTCCCGTACACGGCCCTGCTGCACTAAGCACTTTCCACGGGTGACCTTGTTTGTGTCTCACCACAATCTAATGATACACTTATTATCCCCACTTTAGAGGTGGGGAGCCAAGGGCAAGAGAGGCTAAGCAGCTCTCGAGATCCCACAGCCAGTGAGTGGAAGATCAAAGATTCAAACCGAGGCCTGCCTGGCTGCAGGCCCTCGAGTTTCCCAGGATACAGTGCAAGAGCCCAGGTACAGAGGTGTACCTGCCACAGGAGGCAGGGCACCTGCAGCTGAGAGGGACGGCCAGGTGCTAGCTCTGATAGGCTGGGCGAGGAGAGGTGGAGGGTCCTTTTCTAAAGTGGGAGGCCAGGTGGCTTGTGGCAAGCAAAGGGGCAGAAATGGGGGTAGGGCCTTGAGGAGTCTCAGGGTAGCTCCCCTGCACAGTAGAAGAAGGAGTGGATTAGGAATGACAATCGTGGTCAGGCTGGTGTTGGCAAACATGCATTTGAAATGAAGCCAGTGAGAGCAATCACACACCCAGACTCAGTGACTCCAGATCTGAGTTTGCGGACAGAGGCTGACTCCATGACTAAAGTGCTGCAAAGCAGGG